CCCGGTGTTTGCGCTAGCGGGGAGGGGGGGGGCTCGGCCCCAAGACTCTTTAGAATGCTGATGTGTTTATTTGGCGATTGTACATTGTTGTTATTGTGCTTCTTCATTAGATGTGATCAGACGTTTAGATGAAGCAATGAAAGCCGAAGTAAGTGTTAACCCTAACACGACCACCTGGGGCCCGTATGGACCCAGCTCAAAACAGGAGCTCTTAATGTATGTCTTGTTCTTTTTATGTGTACATAGAAAAAAGATGAAAACCCCGCAGACTGGTGGTAAATGGTACTCTTATTCAATGTGATACGAATTGAAAAGCTGAACGCTAACTATTGACTTTAAATTTCATCCAACTTAGACTGGTAGAATCTGAGCATTATAGAGGTGGTCGTGTCAGGGTTAAGTGAAAGTAGAAAGATGTATATAAAACAACTGCTACATCTCTTTTATATGGCACTGGTCACAACACTATTCACAAGCAGACTATTTCTCCGCTATTCATTATTAGACAAATAGACAACGATCAATTACTCACATTATATATAAACGACACATGCAGAACAGAACAGTTCTTTTTCTTTTCTCTTTACTGTTGTTGATCAAGACGAAATTTTCGTTATTGAACAGGTAAACGACGGTCAATTACTCACACTGTACATAGATGACATAAACAGAACAGAATTGTTCTTTTTCTGTCTTCTTTACTATTGTTGATCAAGAATAACGTCTAGATTGTGTTTTCTCACACAAAAGTCGCTCGAAAAAATTAGAATAAGCTTAAATAACAACTAAAACAGAAATATTTATAGGGCGGCTGAGCCCCCCCCCTAGACTCCCTCGTGGTTACGCCACTACTTACAACTTACACTCACCACTTTCTTCAAAAATATATGTAAGTATAAAAAAAATAGACATTTATCTATTGACCCTGTTATTAATTGTTAAACATGATTAAATAAAATCTTGTAAGATGTGTTCATATTGTTTAGAATTGAGGATTTAGAGACAAATATTTAATGTTGAAATAAAACAATATGACAATCCACTAAAAACAACAACAATTAGACAATACAAATTATAACAAACATGTAATAAAATAAAATTTCCTCTTTTTTTTTGTTTGTTTTTGAAAAGATCTGATAAAAGAACATTTTCATTTTAAATAAAACCAGTTGTTTTAAGTTCACGAAAAGGACATTGATCAGATGGCGGGGTTAATTTATTAATTACATTTGGAATCGATTTTTTTGTATCATTTATTTCATACATTGTTGGATGATAATTCGATAAAATATCATTATCAACAATTTCAGTTGTTGTTTCTAATATATTTGTATGTTCAATATAAGCTTCTTTAGCTCCATTCAACCAATATGTTTGCATTTCACCTTTACCCTTTATTTATAAAAAGAAAAGGAAAAAGAAAACAAATGATTTTTGTTTTTTTATGGAAGGTTTATATAGAAAAGAAAACCTTTATTTGAATTTTTCCTCGAGGACTTATTTCAAAATAAGGAGAATCTTTCAATAATTGCCAAGATGCTGCACTTAAATGAATACGATCCACCTTGAAACGATATTAATTACTTAAGAATTCTAAGACGATAAAAAAAACGTACATCACTTGATGTTGTTACTCGACTTGCCTGTTAAAAATCAAAAATATAGTGAGAAAAGAATTAATTTTCAAATTGAATAAAAACCGTATTAACAGTATCACCAAAAAGACAATATTGATAATTTTTATGTCCAACAATTCCTCCAACTGCTGGACCTGAATGAAAACCGATTTTAATCTTAAATGATATTTTGCTTATTTCATTAATTAATTTTTTTGATTGTTTTGAAAGTTCAAGAGCAAGTCCAGCAGCAATTTCTGCTTGATTTAAACCAAGTGGATTTTTAACACTAGTAATTCCTTCATCTAAACTATCGTCACCCATGGAACTTCTTGCACTTGATCCTGACTTCAATCAGCAAAATAAAATCAATAGAAGAAAAAGAAATGACGAAGAAAGAAATAAAATATTTACCACATTTGATATTCGTCTTTGTTGAGATCGTTCTTGAATACCGGATACAATCATATAAGATGAATCAGCTTTTGTTTCAACCTTAATTTAATTAAAAATACTCTTTAGCTTCGTTTAAAAGTTTATCTTAAAAATGACTTTAAAAACATCATATTTTTCCGAACATTGATCAAAAATAATAACCATTTGATTAATAAATTGAACAATTTCTGTTGGAGTTAATTTTTGTATAACATCTTTAAAATCTAATGTATAGCAAAATAATACTGTTATTAATTTATGCGACTAAAATATTCAAAAAATAATAAAGCAAAGTAAATAATTGAAATGAAATTTCAAAAATAAAGACTTCGCAAATTGAATTAGCTACAACTCCTTGTTGAAGCATTTGAGCTATGTGACGTGGCATCATTGAGTATAGAAGACGTTTTCCTTTTCGGCGCCATTCTTGTAATTCAATTTTAATTGCTTGTAATTGCGAAATCCATGCATGTTGCTAAAAATCAATTTCAATTCGTTGTTTGCTTTTTTATCAAATGAATATTTCGTTTACTTTTTCAATGGCTGCTTGTAATTGTTTTGTATGCTGCATTCCTGATATAAGAATTTCGCTACTTCCATCATAAAAATTTAAATCATGAAGTGTTAACCCGATATTCATCATCTCTTCAGTTGTTGATAATCTATTTTTATTTTCATTGATTATGTTAAGAAAAGAAGAAATAAGAAAAAGAAACATACACTGGATGGCATAAAAAAACGATCACATTCCAACTACTAATCCATTTCATTTGCCCTTTCAATCGAATAACTGAAACTGCTGTTATTGTTTTAGACTTTTCTATTGTTGAATTTTCAACTAATTGATTCATTTGATTAGGTCGAAGTGGTATTCGACTTTCCATTAAAAAAACAATATGACGACCATAACTAATCACCTTATTCCATTCAAGTGCAATATCTGGTCGAATAAGTTTAAAAACCTCATGAAGATCACGACCAATTAGAATGGTATCAACGGGGAAAAGATTTTTAATTGATTTTCCCATATGAGATATACACATTGTTGGATCGATCATAAGACAAAATGGAAAGACTTTAAAAAATGTTTCACTTGTTATATCCGGTAAATTTCGAATATTGAGTAAACGTTTTGAAGCTTCTTTTACAATTGAATTATTAAAATCAACTCGAAATATAATAAGAGTACCTTTAAATAAAACAATATTTCGACAATAAAAACAAAACAATTCAATGGTTACATTCATTGGTTGACATATCATCTTGAATTCGAACATAGATATCTTCGTTATAAAATCTTGATGCACATTCTTTCAATTGACCAACTATATATCGTTGAAAGCCACGACGCCGAGATCTATACGTATATCTATCATAGTTTAAAATAATTATGAAAAATAAATATTGTTCACTTATATTGAAGCAAAGCTCCGTGTACATCTTCTTCAAGAACATGAAACAATGGAGATTTCATTTGAGGAAAACTAAATTTAGTTGAATCATGAAGTTGATCAATTGAATGAAGAAAATCTCTAAAATGTCTTCCAGCAACACGTAAAATTTTATCATAACCATAATTAGTAAAAAATCTAACAAAACATTCACCAAAAAATTGCATATAATACTCAGGTGTTCCTTCGTGCAGTATATCAGCAAGACCTGATTTGAAACTATTTATAGAAATTTTAAGTGAAAAAAAATTCTTTTTTACATTCTGCTATTTTATCAATTAAATTATCATCATATTGACCGAGTGTTGTAAATGATTCATGTTCAAAATTAAGTTCTTGTACAATTTTTTTCCATATTTGATTACCATAACTAAGACATATTCCATCTCGTACACTTTCCAATAATATTCCATAAAGCATCTCTTATCGAATAAGCAACAAAAGAAGACAATAATACCTTAAATAAACAATAAATAATATCTTTAGAATAATCTTTAAACGACTATAATCGAACGCAAAATGAAAATAGAAGAAGTAAAAAAATTTAGAAGAAGATTATCTTTCCAAATGAATAATTTCTTGGAAAAAAAGTATCATGTGTCCTTTCATATAAAGATACGAGAAATCTTCTAAATGAATTTTTTATTGTTTGGTTTATAAAGATAAAAAGAGCCTTGATAAATGTATTCTATCTCTCGCTCTCTCTCTCTTTCTCACAGAAACAATCTTTTCTTACTATGAAATTCTATTCTATTTAGTATATTCATTAATAGATTCAATTTCACAATTAATTTGTTTATTGATGAATCAACAATAAAAAAAGAAGAGTGAGAGTTCAGATAAAAATAGATATTAAATCTGCTTGTCACTTCCATCGCCAATGAACAATCATGCATTTTGTTAAAAGTTTTTTGGTTGTTGCTATTTGTTTTTCATCATCTTTAATAAAATCATTTCTAATTCGATTGTACGATGAAGAGGTGCTTAACTTTTTGTATTTTTATTTATTATTGAACATGGTGTTAAATCGGTAAGTTCATTTGAATATTGACATGATTAAGATCAAGTTTGGGATGATGATGGCATAATACATTACGTTAAAGAAGAATAGATAATACGTAAATAAGAATGAAGTATACATTTCTGTTTCTTGCTTCACTAATCTAATAGGAAACAATTTTCTTTTGTTCTTTATTACGATAGAAATTTCTCTGTTTTCTAACTTTTACAAATGCAACAAACTCAACATGCACATACTAATATTTAAAGGTTTGAATGAAATTTAAATAAAATCATTAATTCTACAATATGAATATATTGACAAGAAACATACGACATAGTTTCTCATAGATAATAACAAATATAGAGCAGAAAAAAGAGCAGAAAGACTACATTTACACAAGAAACTCGACAATTCTTCGTATATTATGTCATTCTTAAGGTGCGGAATCTACAGAGAAATTTTAATTAAATCTCCAGTAATAATTACATCTGCAGTAATAATTACATGGAAAATCACTATTTCCATTTAATCTAACTTAAATGAAAGAAAAAGAAAGAAAGATTTAAAAATACTTAAAAATATAATTTATAGAGCTCATTCAAAAGTTTTCTTTGTGTTCTCTCATATAAGAAAAAAAGGACGTTTATATGTTGCACAATAACTCAATACTGTTTAATCATTGTCATGTCATGCAAAAGAAATTTAAAAAACTGAAACCTTTAAATTGAGCGAAATATAAATATAAATGGTAGATGATAAGACATAATAACAGTTCAAAGTATAAATCAAACGTTGTTTCTTAAATTCTATTTGCTTGCTTGTTTTCTGCATTCAAATAATACTAACATCTCGCATCGTTGATCGATAAAAAGCATTCAAAGATTTCTTTTTTCTAAGATAAATTTAGTTCAGACAAGATAATAATTAAACTATATGAATGAAGTATTATACCATTTAAGATGTAAGTCATTTTTTTTGGATCGAATAGTTTACGCTTTCCAAAAAGTTATCTTTGTAAAATGACATAAAATCTTGACTGAGGTCGTTTTTCTCAGAAGTCTAAATGCAAAAAAAGTACAAAGACTTTAAAAAATCAATCAGCTAAGCGTATGTCCAGATCAAACTGCACTACTTTTATGTTTTCTACTAAAGATCACATATATCATATTCTATTTTGGACTACTATGTTACTAATAAATTAGTAAGTTGCTTTAATTGTGATGGAATCTTGGTGATTGACTAAAATATTGCTTGAGTAAAGAACACAGTAAAGAAAATTTGAATAGATGTATCATGAAATAAAAGATTTCCGTTCGTTAGTCTATGCTCATTTCATCAATGAAAATAACGAATCCATGTCAATAACAGACTGCTTTCATATGGATCTTCGCGCTAAAAACACAAACTTATTTACACAACATCAAGACATATCCATAGAGATCTTTTCTTTTTACTCAAAGTTCGTAAAAAAAACTAAATATTTTGTAAATCTAATCGAATCAAATAATACAAAAGATTTACAAACTAGTACTCGTTCAGATTTGATCACATTTTGAAAAAAGTTTAAGAATAACATAATCAAGAGTATACTGTTTGGCAAAATAGTTCATCAAATTAAGTATTAAGCATTTTACAATATTATTGCAAATATTGGCAATCAATTCATTATTCACTTGATTGAAATATGATTTATTTAACTGAACATCATGATAATTGCAATTTGACTAAAAACTTAACTAAAAACATTCACTAGTTTTATCTATACTATGTAGAATTGTTGATAATATTATAAGACAAATACTACTATTATACATTGAAAGAAAACATTTTTTCCTATATTTCAAAAAACTTAATTTAGATGCTACACTTCGGCATACCTAGACCGTAGAGGTACGGTGCGAAACGATCGGAAAGCACGGAAAAGCGTTGGAAAGTGGAAGCAGTATTCCAACCAGAAATTACCGGATTTTTTTCCTATTGATTCCGGTCAGTTTCCTGTGATTTCCGGCTGGAAGATGACCGGAATACACCAAAAACAAAATCCGCCAAATTCCCACCGGAATACTGCTTCCACTTTCCAGCGCTTTTCGGCCAGATACAGTGATTTTTTCGCATCTTTCCGGTCGGTTCGTACGGTATCCGTCCTCCGGAGTCATTGACCTGAGTAGATATGTAAGGGATTCTTTCTTTTGCTCGGTTACTAGTTCTTTTTTTTTGTATCACTTTTGATGACGATCTCAAGTTTGAATTGTAGCTGCTATATCAGTTACTGATGTTTGTAGTCTTTCGATGGATATTTAGAATATTGTAAAAGAATTGAGCAAATAGAATCATATGACAAAACTTATTTCATGAATACATTAATTCATTTCTTAGCCAAAACGTATCTTGTAGAATATATCATTTGACTTCAATATTTATACTAAAAATAGATTTAAAAAACTATTGATGATTTTGTAAAACATAATACACATATATAACTTGTTTGCTAGTGACATCTTTTTTCGGCAAGTCTAATTAGTTCGATAATGAAGACACGTTTAATCATTAGAATTTTTTCTTTTCTTTTTTTTACGTCTTGTTTCATTTATTGGAAAATAATATTTGCTTGTTGTTCTATTGCAAAATCAACAGAAAGCAAAAAAAACACAAAAATGGGAATAGATGATTCGCTTTGGTCATCATTGGAATCAATGATTTCAAATTTATTATCACCACATTGTTATAATGAATTGGTAATAAAGCAACACTTTTTTGACTTCGGATGTAACAAAATGCTATTAAGTAAAATGCTTGGTTATGCTATATTAGTTGGCTCGTTACTTGTTAAATTTCCTCAAATTGTTAAAATAAAATGGAATAAATCAGGTGTTGGTGTAAGTATTTTAGCTGAAACAATTATGCTAGCAGCAATATTTGGATCAATGGCTTATGGTTATACATCAGAATTTCCACTATCTGCTTATGGAGATTCATATTTTCTATTTATACAAACAATATTAGTTATTTTATTGGTACTTTATTATCAAAGAAAATATGGATTGGCTTTTATTTATTTAGGTTTGTTTTATTTATGTTTTTTCACTTTGTTTTGAATGGATTTAAGAATTTTTATTATCAATTCAAATATCTATTGCACTATCAAATCTAACAACTAAAAATAGAAGAGTACAATGTACGCAAGTTTCTTATTGTCTATATTAGTCTCTAGTGTTGAACTGGTATCTCAATATTGACAATTCAAACTTTGATGCAATGACAAATCTTCGTTTTTTTTTTGAAAAATTTCGTAGTCTACACGATCAGAACATTCAAATTATTGTTCTTTGATTATTTATATTCAAATATTATAACATACATATTTTTCATTTCATAATTATTCAAGAGAATGTTTTCAAGTTGAATTTTTGTGAACGCTAAATAATTAATTTTTCTTTTTTTAGTTTTATGTGGTTTTTTTACCGTATTAATGTATAAAAAACGACTTCCGGCTCATATAGTTGGCATATTGGCTGGTCTATCTCTTGTATTAAGTTTAATAAGTCGTCTTTGGCAATCGTTTTGCATATATCAAGCAAAATCAACCGGAAATCTTTCTGCGATCACAATGCTAATGTTATTTTTCGGTTCTCTCGCACGAATTTTTACGTCAATTGAAGAAACAGGAGATCGAACACTTATTTGGACATATATATTGAATACATTTGCTAATTTTCTATTGATACTTCAATTAGGATACTATTGGTCAGCTCCTGTTCCAGTTTTAGAACCAACTAAAAAAGCTCAATAAACATTTTTTTTCTTGTTCTTTTTTGCGCGTTGTCTATCAAAAAAAAGGGAAAAACGATTTAAAGTTTTCTTTTCTTTGATTAATGATTTAAAATAAAATTTAGCAAAAATGTCCGAAGATTCAACTATTGAAGATGAACTTGAAGATGAACAAGACTTACATTCATCTAGATCTCAAATTGGAACAGGTCTTCTACCATGGACAGACATCATTCAAATATGCATTTAATTGTTTTTTATTTCTTTGTTTTATTTTTATTTTCAATTAATTTTAGTGACGAAGCAATGGGCAATATTTTTATTATTATTAATAGCAATAATTATTTCTCTTTATATAAATGCGCAACGACGACGACGACGCAATAAAAAAGAAATAAAGTCAGGAATTCGTCGTGACCATGTTCAAAGTGGAAACAAAACAATTTCACTAAAGTCACCAAATAAAAGAGACTAACAGTTCTTTTTTTTTCTTTTTATTAAATACTTTTATCATTGATTGATTAATAAATAAAAAAATAATTAGCCATCATAAAAAACATCTGTCTTATTAATAAAATCAATGAAATCAACAAGCCTTTTAGTTTCTTGACAGCGATACGAATTGACAAAAATTAGATAATATCACACATTCAATCTAGAAAATAGTATTGCCTTTATTTAATAAAATTCATTAAGAACGCTTTATTTATACAACATGACTAGTGAGACTCAAACATTTTATTCTTTTTTTAATTATGCCTTGTCAGAAGATTAAAATATAAAGATATGACTTAGTTTGATACATAAGAAAAATGTATTGTTGAATTAAATATATAGATGAACAGAACATTTGCATCATAAAACTTATCAGTGTTAGTGAAGATGGAAAACAACTTTGAAAAAAGATTTCAATGCCTTCATATTTGCATATATCTCTATTACGTTTAACTAAGTTTACGGTGTTTAAGTTTTTTATCCATTTTTCATTTGGTTACAACATGTTTCCTTTTAAATTTCACCTCTTCTAACTCTCCTAAAATCACATGTCTGCTCAAAACATTATTAATTGTCTTTATTTGCTTAATGAACGTTTCAATCAACTTCATAGACTATGTTGATATTTTACTTATTCAAATGTATTAATAATATTTCTTTTTCTAGAAAGAAAAACTACGTAATTATAGTTCTTTTTTTCACTGTACTGCAATATGGATAGTTATGTTTATGACGAACTAGCAGAGATGTCCATCACAGTTGAGAATATGTCACTGCCGCACTGCGGCCCTAGGAGAGAGAAGACTCCCGCGCCGCGATCAATTATAAAGAAAGTTACCGCGGTCGCGACAGTTTTCAAAAAGTCTTTCGAAAACCCCTGCCATCACTGCACTAAATTAGAATTGTTAGTGTTAATGTGAATCCTTGAGATTCATCTAGTCCTTGAATATTATACTTATGTATACCTGAGTGTGTGGATGTGATTGTGTTTGATTCAAACACCCATCTACACTCACACCCGTCCATATGCGTCGACCTGGGTGATTGTATGCATCACAGTTAAAAAACTATATATCATGCAAACCATCCACTTTCTTTTTGCTAATTTTTTCCTATTCAGTATCATATCGCACATTTCAAGAAACTAAAAACATGTTTTATATTTCTCTCTTTGAGGAAAAATGAGTAGAACCTATTGAAAATGTTATTTTTAAGAAGACAGAACAGAAAAAAGATTATTGCAGTGTTGTTGCTGATAGAACCTCATTTCGACTATGCGACGCAAGGGGTAAAAGCTGATTTAAATCAGCTAAAAAATCATTTTAAATCAAATAAATCACTTTAAATCAGTTTAAATCAAATAAATCAGTTTAAATCAAATAAATCAGTTTAAATCAAATAAATCATCTTAAATCACTGTAAATCATATAAAATCATCAGTTTTAAGTAATAAAAAAAAACTTCACGGCATTGAAGCGGTATCTAAGTTCATAGTTTTATTGACCTAATATTCAGCGATAGCTTTAGGACATCATTAAGGGGATGATGCTTGTATTCAAAAGACGGGTTTTGAAGCCTTCGTGAAGCAATACGACCCTTTTCTGTTTCATTTGTGCAGGGGAAATGGAAAAAATTTCGTAATGGTGGTGGCACGCGCCAATTAGCCGACATGGTAGATGCATTAGAAGTAATATTCGATCATGTTCAATATCACTGACATGAATAAATATATGATTATATATATATATTTTTTTTTCATTGGAAAATTATTTTGTTCGTAGAACGAAGAATACAATTCTACTTCTACGACTTAGATGAAAAAACCATGTGCTTTCAATAAGAAATATATTCTTAAAAGAATATATTTTCTGCTTGTCTAGAAGAACAAAACGAAATAAAAAAGTCAAAGAATGTTGGCTGTATCGCGAATAGCTGCAACAGAAAAAGTTCACATGCTTTCCTTCTCTTCTCTTCTATCATTTGTTTAATTTAATCATTTTTATCTCGACCACGTTGGCTATAACATATATTTTATTCGTCTTTCGATTTTTAAGAATAAGTAGCTTACAATTAACATTCAAAGGATAATATCAAGTCGAATACAATCTTTTTAAAGTATGGTATAGACGAAAAATATTTTTCATAATCAATTTATATGCACTACTGTTATACACTATTGTCTACTACTTTTTTCGTATAATTCTGCATTTCAGATGAATTTTCTTCTTCCAGCTAACGCACTTTCTCTCAAAGGGGATTCTTTTTACCACATTGTTGAAGAATATTGTGGTAAGGAGGTACTTGAATTACTTAGGTTTCAACTAATCGATTCTTCCATGAATCTCATCGAGATCGACGATGTCTTTTCTATCCTTCAATTCGAATCAGATCGAACATTACCACTCAAAGAAATTCTTGGTATTTCAGTTAAAAATAAACAAGACAATTATTCGTTTTTTATCATGCCTGGTATTCGCTTAAAACTAGAAAAAATTATTCGATCACTTCGTTCTCTTATTCCATCTATTGATTCATTATCATCATCAACTACAAATGCTTTAACGATTTCATCTGAACTTGTTCAACAATATCCGTTCTTAGTCGATCTTGTATATTCTCTCGAATCGAACTTATTGACTGATTTTTCATTGGACTTTCTTTCGAATATGATATCTAACGCAACACGTTCTAAAAGTTCTTTTCGTTATAAACAATCTATAAAAGATTTTGCTACTTCCATGTTCATTCTAGGAGGCCGTTGCGTTTATGAATTTGTTAGACTCAATATTCCTGGATCCATTCCTAGTTTAACTAGTCTACGTTTAATTCTTACATCGTCTAAATGCAATTTTATCGAAGGTGAATTTCAATATGATCGTTTGAGAGATTATGTTAATTGGTCTCAATATAAATATGTATTTTGTGGAGAAAATAGTACTTCCGTCGTACCAAAAATCTCATACGATACTCGATCTAACTATTTCGTTGGGTGAGCTTGAAACGTGGTATGAACAAATAGATAAATCGGATTTGATCAATGTACATGATATTCAGCCAACTTGTCATATTGGTCAAGTGCCACCACCACCATTTCTTCTTGCAGCATATGGGACGAATAGCGTTTATACAGGTAAAGATGTTCTCGCCAGATGGTCAAGAATTTTCGATTCATGTATGGCTCAAAATATTCGAGTATTAGGTTTTTCAGCTGATTGTGATCCTAAACAGTTGAAAGCCATGCGTGAATCGATGGGATTCTTTTCAAGACAACCAACCGACTTTGAAGATCATCCGAATTGCTTCAACATTTCTTTACTCAAAGTGAGTAAATCGGTAGTTTTTAAGACAAAACCCATGAATCTGTACATGCAGCGTAATGTGAAAACGATTACTAAATTTTTAGTTCTGTAAAGCTGATATAGATTTCAAATGGTTTTAAACATTGAGCATTAGTAAGACCTACTTTCGAACACTTTTCAGCGTTAAAATCAAGCGAGTCAAGTAAGATACATTGGATAATATTTTGTCAGAAATTGCTTTGAACTAAATGAAGAGAAATACTTTTTTGATAAACTTCTTTCGTGTACATTGATGCTATTCAATGACGAAAATAGTACAACTTGATAATAGGAAGCGACTTTTCTTTGATAAAATATAAAAGCTGATTCAGATGTAGAGACAATATTTGACAACAAATGTTAGCGTTAGTTGCAGAAACATTTCAGCGAAGAAAATTAGTTAACAAAATGGAATCGATATTGATTGTTGCCGCACTTCTTTTATTTTTCTTTATTATCTAGCATGAAAGTTTTAAATGAAATTCTGAATTTTTTTACCCGAGTAAAATCAATGTCCAATTTTATAAATTTATTAATATATATTTTTTTCCATCGTTTAGAAAGCTTCATGGTTTTTTTTAAAACCAATGCAGCTATTTGTATGTTTTCAAGACGGTATACATCTGTGTACTAAATTACGAAACCGCTTATTATCGTCGACAACAGTTTTGCTGATGGGAGAGCAATATGCCAGCGTCAACCATCTTATAGAATTGATTGATAATCTTTCAAAATTCACTCATGGACTGACCATTTCCGATGTTTGCCCGAAGGACAAGCAAAACTATTCATCTTGTGAAAAGATCACAAGTGACGCCACACTTGTTTGTCTCAGAAAAATTTCGAATTCTCAAGCAACACAAGCTTACCTAAAGGTTAAATTTTACATGTTTCTCGAGTCATAAAATCTTCAAGCATTATTTCGACGAGACTATACACCTTTGAGTTAGAATCAATAAAAGGATCACATATAAAATCTACTATGACATCGTTAAAGTTATATGAAAGTTTTGACCATGGTACTGCGGCATGTTGAATACTCAAATATAATAGATTTTTTTTTTCATAGATCATCCAATTCGTTCGTTTCGCTTTCGTCGAGAAAAATACTACTATTATTGATCGTCTTTACTATTCGTGGTGCGCCGTTTTCATCGTTCGTTTGTGGTCTGCGTGGTTGGAAAGTATAGACTCTGCTGACATCGACGAAAAAATTTTTCGTCTGCTTCCAATTGATTTTAGTACTCCTATCTCAAAACCGCAATTATTCATTACCGTGCCGTGTCTTTTCTCACTGGAACTGAATGCGCATAGTCTCACATACCTTGCTGTACTAGTGGCGGAGCAAAAAATAAGTGAAGATGCTTTAAACGTTTCTTTATTTAATTCTCAAATGTGTGAAAGCACCTTTCGCGCAGCTAGGTCAATGTCTGGTCCATTCTCGTCCGTTGTCAACTTCTCTGTTAATGAATTTCTCCAGCGCGTCGAAAAACTCGCTCTTCTCCAAACCATTCGATGGTCTTCGGATTGTAATATGAACAACCTTGTATTCCCTAAACATCACAAGCAGTCACAAAACTCTATGGCAGCACCCTCGACATCTACAACAACAATTACAATTACTGAAGAACTACTAGAAAAAACTGTGTTTAACGCCTATGTTCAAGCGAAAGAAATTCTTTCTGGTTGTGAATTTTCTATACTTGATTCTAGTGAAGAACTTATATCTTTCGACGAAGTAAATCGGATAGCATACAAGAAGTTAACAAAATCGAAATGTAAAATATCTAAAAAGAAAACTAGTGCATCAAACAAAGTCGAAGAAGAAGAAGAGGAAATCGAAAACGAATATGATGATGACGATAAGAATGAGGAACAACATCAACTCGACAAGCGTTATAGTGAAAATAACACCACGAATGAAGACGAAGAATCAATGCTAATCGACGAACTTGACTTTGATGTTCTTCCAGAGGTGTCTAGTTCCACCGTCAATGGAATGCGTATATTTGATTCTATTGATAACTGTCAAAATGAATCTTTCTTTTCTGTGGAAGTGAATGGCCAGAAGAAATACTTGCATAAGCAAACAGCCAATTGGTATTTTTCTAAAACTAAACCTATTTCGTCGTCTGATAGACTAAAGAGGGTTCAAGAGAAAAAATAATTTTTTTGTTTGTTTTATTCCATGTTATATTACTTCTGTAAGAAAAATAAATAACAGAGCCATCTATTTCTATGCTTCTGACAAGAAAATGATGTGCAGTTCACCGTGCATTTATAATGAATGGATTTGATTCAAAGCAAGGGGAGCAAACTGATTTATTGATTTCTAGTGATTTCTTGTGATTCCCCGTGACTTTTAACATTAGAAATCAATTTCTTCCGCCTGGAGACTTCAACTTGATAGCTCACCTTAACACAAAAAAAATCACTTTGAATCACTTTAAATCACTTTAAATCATTTTAAATCAAATAAATCACTTTAAATCAAAAAATCACCTTAACTCACATAAATCACCTTAACTCACTAAATCATAAATCACCTTTTTCCCCCTTGATGCGACGTATGTAGACTTACCCTTCGGTCTTAGATGCCTTCATTATGTATTTCTAAATGTGTCGATCGAAAATATACTCGAATGGATAATTTAATTAAATATTCTTACTTTTTTGTGACGATTTGTCGTTTAATTGAATTGAATAAAACAATCTCGTGCCATATACGCACAATATAATCATATATTGTACATAATAGTTTTACAGATATCAGATAAAATCTAAATAGATGTATTTCTTATGTGCAAAAGTGATTCGTTATAAATTTTTATCATATATTTCGTTCCGCTTTGAAAATAATTTACTTTCAAATATACTTATTGATGACACAATCAACATGAAAAGATATAACAATTAGACTCCTTGAGTATTTCAAATGTTGAAGGATTTTTAGATAAAAGTTGTTTAAAAATAATAGTTCAATAAAACACATTTTTAATAGTTTTTGAAAAGTGAAATATTCATTTCGGATTTCAGGTAGACTTTATTCTCGTCAAATTTTCCTTTTAAGGATGCAAATAAATATTCAAGAAATGCTTTAACAATATTTTTTCATTTGATAAACATTAATTTTTGTCAAATAGTAAAACTTCCGATAAATGAATCGAATGTGAAAAGCCAATTAACAAAGTATTTCTTGAATGAATCTGCTGCCATCTAGTATTTTCTTCATATAGTAAGAACGATCGTTCTTTCGATTTCGTTTTCATATTACCATTTGTTGGTCACAACTGATTCATTCGTTTCCCATGTCATAAAAATCGCTTAAAAATCGACGATTTTATCGCGATTAATCGTTTGAACTGGTGATATTTACCGATTTATTTCTCGATTTTCAGCAAAAGATCGCGATCTGTCACTGCTTTTGCAATTACTTATAA